TGACCTGGAGACCCAGGATCTGAAGGAAGCTTATGCAGAACAAGTAACTAAATCTTACATTAGAACAAACCAGGGACGCACTACACATCATTTAGGCCAGTGAAAACTACTTCACTTATCTCATAGTTTAAATATTTTCATTTGAAATTTTGTTGCATTTTGATATTTTTCATTGTTAAAAAGCATTCCAGCGATTCCACCGCGTACCACCAGTGGTATACAATACAATAGTACGTAACCAGTGATTTAGTCTAAAAATTACTATAGTTTCAGCCTCATTTGTATTAAAACACAGGTGGTCATATTGGTTACTAATAAGTCTTATTTACAATTTGTGGCATAATTTTGTTTTGAAAATATACATCTTTACTCTCAATCCAAGCAGTTTTACAATGTATTACACATTTCCGATATATTTTGTTGCTACTTAATTGTGAATATTTGCTCTTTCTCACAGTTTTATTTAACTGTAAATGGAAAAACCTTTGGGTTGTGGACTGTTGGTCACACAAAATAAGACAACTAACTAATTTCATTAAGTTACAGTATTTTTGAAAAAGCTAAGCCTGGTTCTGGTCTTTACTTTCCATATTGTACAACAAATCAGCATCCAGTTCTAGATTTTATTTATATAACACCAACACCATGAGCAACCACTTGGCGACAGTGGCAAGAAAAAACTACACTACAGCACTTGCTATTAGAAGTTCGTGATTAATTTGAACAATTACTTTGTGGGCAGAAAAAACTATAGTTCTCAACACAATTTACAAGAGCAGCAGCGTTTAGACTGGCACATCATCATCACGTGTTTTTGTCCATTTCCATAAATCTCACCAACGCTCTCGTCTAAAGTAATTTTTCAAAATGTTTAGCTATAATATTTGTGGTCTAAAAACGTTAACAGAAAAAAAAGCTAATGTCCGTATCCGAACATATGAAGCCAGCAACATAAGACAGTGTTGAGTAATGTTATGTACCCAATAGTGTCGTAAAAATGTAAATTGGATTTTAAATGAGGTTGATGTCACTGGCAGTAGCAGGGAACATACTTGTGGGTCCCACTATGATAATAACAATGTCTTTTTTCTTTCAGGTTAAAGCAGACATCAAGAAACGAGTGAGGGAAGACCCAGATTTCAACTCTCAGCAGTTCCCCAACGCACACAGAGCCTTCTCATCAGACTCATAATCCAGTTCAACTGATAAGAAACCTACAAGACCCTTTCCATCTACATCTTTATTATTTCTTGGATCTTGATTTACCAACCACTCAATGCAGCTTCACCCCCAAAACTGTCTGCTTGCCTTTTTAAGCAGTTAGCAGCTCTCTTGACTAACTGCCTAATGCTAATGTGACTACTTCCCCAGTGCCTATTTATTTCTTTGTTTATTTTGGTCCAACTTTTGTTGAAAGGTATTGTATCAGATTTAAGTTTGACTAAATCAGGTCACTTTAATTCAGTTTGGATACATGCGTATGTCCGTATTTTTTGCCCTCTTATCCTTGTGTTGCTTTGTTAATATGAAGCCTGAATTTTCATTATTTAGTGGACTTTTGCCTTCCTCTCAATACTCTAGCGCAAGAGTAAACTTTCATGTGATGAACATGCTGTTTGGTACATGAATGTACAGTAAGCTTAATAAAAATCTTGATACAATACAATGGTACTCTTTTTAAGTCTGGATTAGATTATCAGCTAAATTTAGTATTGGTATATTTGTCTTAGAAATTGCACCACATAAACAAAAAAGCCAAATATGTGGTCATTTAGAAACAGTGTTGCTATTACACAGTTTGTCCACCAGAGAGCACTGACAAATTTAAATTTCTGCTATAAACTTGTCAGAAACTAATTTGTAATGATTAGTTCTAGTTGAAAGTACATGGGAATTACAATAGCTGAAAACATATGAAACATTAGCATTATATCCTGAGGAAATTGTCCAGTTAGTTAGAGATGCAGTAGTTACATTTACATACAACAAAATGGAGTAATTAATTTCTCCTTTCTGGAAACAAATAGTCAAAAGTATTGGAGAGTGGTTGCATAAACATGGCCACAATCTCCACAGTTGTGCTTATTGGTAGAGATGTCTCTCCTACTACCAGGTATACCTTAACATAAACTTGGCATTGAAAGGCTTTATTGGCTCTTTTAAGAATTGTTGTCAACCATTGGGTTCAGAGAATGACTTTAAAAAAATTAATTAATGGACATTGTCTTGTTTGAATCTTTAAAAGGACTAATAATTACAAGAGAAGTTTTAACTATAACGATGCTATTTTTGAAATATTCATAATCCATTGTGCAAAAGTAAAGGTGAATTTCTCAAAGCAGCATTTACTGTCTAATATCTTTTTTAAAATTATTTTGAATTAGTTTTGATCAATTTTTACAATTCAATTCTGAGGAAATTCCAGTTGATGTTGACTAACCTTGATTGTCCTGCCTCCTTTGCTTCATCTTGTTTTGTTGAAAGAAAGATTCTCATCACATGTTGCTAAAGGTGAAAAATGGAAATGCATGATCATCCACTTAAGTTAAAGTAAAAGTATCATCAGCTAAGTTTACTTTACATTATTAATACTGATGCAATTAATGTGTAAGCAACATTTTACTAACTGGTCGAGGAGGAGCTAGTTTTAACTACTCTATGTACAGTTAGCTAGTTTATTCCCAACCAAGGGGTCGGGCCCCTCCAAAGGGTCACAAGATGAATCTGAGGGGTTGTCAGATGATTAATGGGAGATCAAAGAATTAAAAACAAAGTTCTGGTGTATAAATCTGTATTCATTTTTCTCTCATCCTTGCTTTTATGTAAAATATTGGATAATTTTACCACTTTGGGCCTCAAATAGTTATTCAGATAAAACCCTCTGGGAACTTTTAACAATTCGAAGACATCTGAAATGTGTCAAAGGACTAGACACTGATTTGATGAAGAGGTCACAAGCAAAAGGTTTGACAGCGTATTTCATTATTATTATTATTTTTTAATGTAAAATCTAAATCCGGATAACTAGTAATTAAAGCTGTAAAACAAAAAGCTCAATATTTCTCTCTGAACTAGTGAAAAATACCCTAAAGTAGCCTGAAATGGAAATGGTTGTGTAATACATCAAAATTGTACTCACCTAAGTACAGTAGTTGAGTAAATGCTCAGGACGCAGTGGCAGCCGGTCAAGCAGGGCACTGCAGACCTCCCTCTCTCCAGCAATGCCTCCCAGCTCCTCCTGGGAGAGCCCAGACAGATGAGATAGGGACAGACTCTGACCATGCTGTCCTGTCACTGAACAACAACATTACACAGTCACACAGAAAGAGAAGAGTTTCTTTTAATATATGCTGCCCAAAGGATGAGAACAAATTTAAAGCTTTGCTGGGGTTTTCCCTTCAAGCTGCCAAAGTCAGAGTCATTTATCAGAGCAGGAGACTTGCTGCCCAGATTAAAAAGACGTCATATTTTGAAAAACTGCCCATCACAAAGACGTGCAAAGAGCCCACAACGGCTTTGTAGAAACTTTAGTAAAAACTCAGCCAAGAGGATGTGTTGTAGATCAAAAATAGCCAAAGAGGAAAATCAGAAGAGCTCAGCACATGACACAGAATTTCTGCCCATGCCTCATTTTAGTAAAGATCCATGCAGACAATATGACGTGACAATGTGATAAAAGCTCCCCAGATAACAACCTCAGAATGCTGGACATCCAAACTATCCAAAACTTATCTCAAAACAGCCTCAGGAGAAATAGATTTATGGCCTTGCATGTGATCAGATTTGGTTTGAAGCCATCAGGCTGAGTGTTCTGACAACTGAGTGCCATATTTGCTTAATGCAAAGAACCATGAGTTTGATGGAACACAAAATACTTTGATCACCGTGCAGAAGGAGGAGACAGAAGACATGAGGAATCAAAGTGACTTCAGTCCACACTGAAAGTATTTCTAGTTGAAAAAGTGAACATTTTATCCCACTAGTGATTATTAAGATTGCCTAGAAACTCTATATTTTACATGCCAAGTCCTCAATTATCTTCAGCCTTTTTATCCATCTGTGCTCATTTAATTTAATTTCATTATTAACTGTTTATCCTGCTGCATCAAATCACCATCAAGGTCAGCAAGGGAAAGTGCAAATTAAACTGCATTGTGTGTGTTAAACCATTCATAATTCATTATATGATTTACAAACAAACTTACAACTAAACTCACCATGTGCTTCCTCTCTGCTTCTCCTCCAAATGACCTTTGACCCTGGAAGTACTTCCAAGCTTTTCCTGCTCAGAACTATGGGTACGTAAAAACTCTTCACCCAAAATGCTATACTCTACAACTAAAATGTCACACAGTGTATATGAATCAGTGTTGCATATTAAATATTTAAGATTTTAACTTTTTTTTACTTTCTGTAAACAATAATCGTTGGTTTTGAAAAGTGCTACAAAAATAAACTTTATTATTATTACAAGCAGTAACACGTCTGCAGTGGTCACTTTATTTTAACAATTATATAAAATAAGTGTCATATTCAGTCTTTTTCATGTGTTTTCCCAGCTCCATCAGTCCCTTAAGAACCTTTTAAACTATGAAACAATCCATATAATTGTCTTTTAACCAGAAACTTGTAAGCATATTCAAATATTTTATATCAGTCTTTAAATAAGGCCATGCATGCTAGGATAGTACACAGCAATCTGTTCATATGAATAGAGATAAAAATAGAACACAGATAATTATGTGATGTGAACACAATTACTTTATTTTACAAGTTGGCGGTGCAACAGCTGAGCTATTTAAGTTCACAGTCACCTTGGTGAACAGGTTTGACCACCACCAGCCAGCCTGTTGGCTAATTCGGAGGAATCTAAACAGCAAGTTCAGTTCCTGGTTGGCATCCTGTTTGGGTTGAAGAATGTGAGCGAGTCATGTGGCACCAAGTTAGTGAAAAACATGCCTATCAGCATTCGACCTGACAAGTGCAGCAATAACACAACATTTTCCGTACATGCACTGCAACTGTGCGTGTTTATTTTGGACAATTAGGGAAAATGACTACAGACACAGACAATGTGACTTAGTATGAATTCATAATGTTCAGATGCGTTTTAAATCAAAAACAAAAAGCACTAAATACACATTAAAAAACAAAAACAAACCTGTTTTGATAACAGTATGTCTGCTACCAGTTTGATCTTAATCTTTTCCTGCTATAATGACATCCAACACCTAAATCCACTGTCTGCAAAACACACTTATGTGTGTGGTCACCCATGAATAGTTAGTCTGGGAGTGGTGAGTACAGTCATCCATCCATCAGGGTGCTAACCTGCACTTTATTTGCATAAGGTGTGTATGGCGAGCACACACAGCTGCTGCACAGTCACTATGAGACTGATTAAAGAATTAAAGAGGTGAGACTTACAGGTTTAGGAGTAGTTTGACATTTTGGGAATGATTTGCTTTCTTGCCAAGAAATATCCGAGAAGATTGATACCACTCATGTCTGTATGGTAAATACGAAGCAAACGCCAGGAGTCACTTAGCTTAGCATTAAGACTGGAAGTTGGGGGGGTATCGGCTATCGATGCTCTGTCCAAAGGTGTTAAAATCCACCTACCAGAACCTCTAAAGCACTAATCAACATGTTATAGGTCGTCTCCAGGAAGTCACTAGGCCTAAACCTAAAAAACATGTTTTTTTTTACAGGTTAAGCAAACAAGATATAACATTTTAATTAGTGATGGTTGATTTTGTTATCTTTAGACAGAGCCAGGCCATCTGTTCCCCCTGCTTCCAGTCTTTAAGCTATGCTAACCGACTGCAGCATTAAATTTACCGTACAGACATAAGAGTGGTATCAACAAGAAAGTGAAGCTCATTTCCCTAAATGTCAAACTATTTCTTTCAAAGAAACACAATTTTTGTTCACAGCATTGAACATTTCATAATTTCAATGAATAATTGAGCAGCAAGTATCAAAGTGACTTTTGATAGATTAAATAACACATAAGCAATGCTAGATTCAATACACTCAGTGTCTAATGTTGGTTGTGTGCAAACTTTAGATAAAAGCTGTGTAGACGACATTACTGAGGAAGTTTCCTGACTGCAAGACTCCTTGTGTTACTGTCACACTAGTAAGTATATAAGTAGAAGTGTGATTTACAAAGTTAAAAGGAAATACAGTTATTCACTAGTGCATTCTTTTGGTTTATTTAATCATGAGTGGTTAAAGAAAGGCTCCAGGATTTGAACGAGGATCTTTGAGGTTTCTGTATCTATGGGCGAGCCAAACTCCAAGGATCTGAAAAGAAAGAAAAATAGGCAAGTGTCAAAACTTCATCCCAGCGCAATCTTAGTTTTTCTCAATGTCCAAATCAGCACCTATTCACAACAAATTCCACATTTCTAAAACACATCTGTTGCCGTGACATTTCACTGACCTCTGTAAAGCTGAAGAAGAGTCCGATACCACCTACAAACTGCAGCACCTCTCCAGCATACTGCTGGATGATGTCTGAGCATGTGTTACAAGACGGTGAAGGGGTGTTGTGAAAGCAGCTCTAGAGGAAGTGGAAAGGAAAGGAAGAAAATTCATTAACTGCCAGAGATCATGCATCATGATGACCACGTGGCTGCCGCGAGGAGGAAAAAGAAAGGTATATTCAAGGTGATTTACTTACAGCGGTACATGAGCCATTGTAGTTAACGTAATGGAAGCCACAGCAGTCGAGTGTTTTCTCTACGTCCTTTTGAGTTTCTTCAGATTTGTTCCATCCAACCTCCAGCAGATGGTTCTGGAAAGGAAAATCATACAGTCTGGTTGTGTCTATAGAGGTTTAAAAGCTGCATTTATTTGAAAAGCATATTTTGTAGTGTTCATTTTTTATCTGAGGTCAACTGCTGGCCAAAATAACTGTATCATTGAACTGTAGTTCAGCACAGACAACATAAGCATACCTGTTGGTCTTTATTGAGGGCCAGACAAGCACAGGACACAGAAAACTGCATGACAAACACTAGGAACAGGATCATCATGTACTGGATCAAGTTCAGGAATTTAACATCTCACCATGAAAACACAACTTAAACAAGGAATAAAATCCTCCACACAACTACTATCCCAAGGGGTGAGGTGACTCCAATTGCTGCTATAAATAAACCACACGGAAGAAACCAAAAGGATACGAAGAAGAGCAGGACCTGGTGGTGCTTCAGAGCGCCACACAGCCCCACAAAGGCAACCACCAACAGGAATGTGCCCACGCCGATGACCCCTGCCACCACTCTGATGCTGGAGACCAGGCCGAACCATTTCCCCCAAGCTGCCACTCCAATCAGCAGCAGGCTCACCAACTAAGGAAGAAGAAAACAATGTCAGAATGAGATAAGAAGGAAGTGCAATCAATGTCAGCTTTTTAAGGAACTCTCTACACCAACAACACCACCACCAACATTTTAGTTCAGTTTTTCTACTAAAATCTCACGGCTCTCTGGGTTTATAGGCGCTTCCTTTCCTTCATGGTGGAGGTTGTGTGGGTCTTAGATGTAGCCCGAGAAAAGACTGCAGGCTTTACTCAGGGCTGCATGTCTTTATGGTTAAAGAAAATAATGTAGTCTTTTTATAGATTGATGTACAACTGTTGATGAAGGACAGGGCTCTTTGTTGTAAAGATGCAAAATACATAAAGTGTCAGGTGTCTATCAAGCAAACTTAACATGATTGTATTAAAGAGATTTACATAACATTTGTATTCTTTCTAAACACTATTCTATGAAAATTAACCCGTCATCATACTTTATTTATACATATATATATATATATATTTTTTATTTATATATATATATATATATATATATATATATATATATATATATATATATGAACCTGACTGCATTGTGACTGCATCAGGCCTTCTCAGTGACTATGTAGAAGTGGATAAGTGGACTGGAAGGTGGTTTCTCCACCTAGAGATAATCTAGGGGTGAAATCAATTACTTTCTCGATTGACCCATTCGCCTAAAATGTCAGAAAACTGTGTAAAATGCCTGTTATTTCCCAAGGTGATGTCTTCAAATGCCTTGAAGATATTTTATCTTTACTCTTATGTATGACAAAGAAAAGCTCCAATTCCTCACACATGAGAAGCTGGAACCAGAGAATGTTTTTAAAAAATAAATAAATAAAAATCCAAGTGAGTGGATATTAAAAAAGGTCCCAGGTCAAAGGCAACTGGATTTAATATCACCCCAATTTTAGCATCACTGCACTTGTTACCAATTAACTTCAGAATACATTTTAAAATTGTATTAATTACTAACAAGGCCATCCATGATCTGGCTCCAGACTGCATTAAATAGCTTTTAACCCATTACAGCCCAGCCAAGCCCCTAAGATCAAAAACCTTTGACTGAAGACCCTCAGTGTGAGATCGTCTGACTCCACGGCAGCTTTTAAGGGTCTCCTAAAGACCCACCTTTACAACTTTTATATGAATATATCAGCCCTTTTATCTTGTTCTTAATTTTATATGTTCATGGGTGGTAGATACTGGGATTGTTTTTTGTGTTGTGTTTATGTTTTAATCTGGAAAGCACTTTGTTCTTAAACTTGAAAAGTGCTTTACAAATAAATGTATCATCATCATCATGTAGTAGTAGCTGTAGTGAAACAGATAATATATAGCTAGATATTTATACATTTCATTTATTTTATTTTATTTTTTACAACTTTATTCAAATATGCAGAACAGGGGATGACAGATAAACCTCTGAATATATAGCAGCTCCAGGGCTACTGCATGACATAAGTCAGGGACATAAGAAATAAATTAAATGAATTACTATAATTAATTTAAAAATAATAATAATAATCAAGAGTTGACAAAACACCCCATCTCTTCCGGATGATTAATCGTTTTTTTGTGCTTTTCGTTTACAGAGTTTGTTCGGGTACTCATAGAACTTTTCTACTTCAAATAAATATTTTTAGGTTTATTTATCATTAGGCATTCATTCTTACCTCCGAGTAAAGCCAACAATTATGCCAAGGCTGGCGAAAGCAATTAGCAGCCATGAACTGGGTTTAATCATTTACAGAGAACACCTGCCTGTGGCAGATAGGAAGCAAACATTTTAATCTCCTCTTAAACCAACATGGAGCGCATTTCAGAGTCTCAGTCGAGACTAAAGCAGACACATTAGTTGCTCTTTTAAAATCAGTTGTTCTTAGGGACACCTCTGTGTTAAGTATCCATTGATATAAAAGCTCTTACTTACAACATAAAGTATATTGAGAGCGCTGAGTGCGTTCTTGGTGCAAACGAATCCGCCGCAAACCATCTCTGCTCGCCGGGACAGTCCTTAGAGTCAAATATATTTCTACTTGTTCAGCCTGTTGGGAGAGCCTGTGTCAGTTCTGAGATCTGGCTCCTTGTGGCTCCTTGTGGCTCCGGGTCTGCAGGTAGAAACAGCTGGGAGCGCTTCCTGAAGAGATCCTGCTCGCTGATTTGTCAGAGTCATGAGTCACTTGTTGCTCCTCGTCATAGCTGCTTGTTTTATTGTCCGATACAAATAAACCCTGATCATTAAGCCTCTGCTGATAAAACGTTACTAAAATGACTTCTTCACTTTGATACTATACTTCATATTTATTAAGACATGTTTCATTTGTTGTAGAAGACACAAGATGCTCTAAACATTTTACAGCATCCGTGAATACCAGTTCACATAGGCTATAGTTTTAATGCCTAAAGTCTATTTATAGTGTTTGTGTTTACTTCACTTTGGATAAATAAATAAATTAGACGGATTTTCAAATTAAAGACCTTCAGAGTCAAATCATTCTCCACACATTATGAGCTCCCCCTTGTGGTTACAAATAGATACTACCAGTAAAGTGCCAGTGCCCTAATTCAGTTAAGATAGCTGTGTGATTACATGGAGACTCAGTTATGAAGGCATTTACATATTCATAGCCCACCATCTGCTGTGTTACAGCATATTTTGTGGGAAAATGTCAAATCTGTCAATAGATCTATGAATTACCTGCTTTTTAAAAGTCTGTGTAGTCTCTCACTCCATCATGCAGTTCATCTCTTCCAGTGGGATCACCTTCGATAATCTTTTACTTTTGAAAAACACAGAAACCATTTGATTGATTATAATTGGCAAAAAATGTGTCAGATAATATATGAAGAACTGAGCCCAGGGAAATCATGAGTCATAAGCAATTTGCATGAATGTGGGAAAAACCCATTCATACATGTTTACTTTTTTACATCATTTTGGCATCATTATAGTAGGTAAACATATTTAGTAAAAAATATGTGTTGTCGGGTTTTTTTTGTAAAAAGTCCATAGCTCGAGTTTTCAATAAGTAATAAGAGTTGTACTTCACAAAAAAAAACAAAAGGTTAACAGACAGGTTATTCTTCAAGACACATCAAATGAGGAACACAGAAATGATACCAGTTGTATGTTTTGAACTAAACAGCCAGTGACTGTAACGCTATATAATGTCCTTTAATAAAGAAAATGTTTCGTTCTGAAAGGCATACATACAGTAAGTCCTTAACAAAAAGTAGTCAAAATAACCACCTGATGCTGTAAAGAGAAGAGTTTAACTCTGTGAACAATTTTGCTATTTTAACTTTTGTATCTTTACACATAATAATAAGACATCTGATGGCCTGCCATTAACCCAGTGCAAAGTGGTGACATTTGCTCCTGCTCACCACGTGTGTCATAAACAACAAAACCACAATTTGTCATTCTTACAACATTCTACCAAAAAAGAAGAACTACAGGTCATATAGTCCTCTGTCTCTGAAACTACACCGAGCTGCACTGAAGATGACCTGCGTTTAAGACTCTGTGGTGGTTTTAGATTGATGTTTCTGTCTTTAAGAGAAAGTGAAGACTTTCTATGATAAACTTGATCAAGTTATGGAGGAAGAACTGAATTATGTGACGGTGGTTTTCAAGACTAAAGGTATTTCTACGCGTGGTGAGTCACATATTCTGTTTTTTTTTTTAGCACAGTCTGCACTGGTAGTTATACTAAAGCAATGTAACTGAGCTTCTGACAATGGTGGAAAGTAACTAAGTACATTTAAGTATTTAAGTAGATTCAAGGTACTTGGCTTTTTCTATTTTCTATGTCCTGCTACATTTAAGTGGGAAATACTTATATATACCTTTTTACTCCACATTTATTTGATAGAAGTTATTTGCAAAGTAATATTTTACATACAAAACATAATATGATCCCCTGTTCTTCTACGCATTTTAAATTAGTTACATTGAAGTGCTGCTTACAGAATAATACATCAGTTGAAATAAAATATAATTAAACACTGATTGCAGTTGTTATAGTTGTACTTTTGACTTTTTACTGATACTCAGTATTTTTTTCTTCATTTCACCTTAAAGCTGATTCATGTATGATGTTTGTGGCTCAAACACTCTCACATTGCAACATTTTGAATTTAACAGCACATTGCGAATCTTTGGGAACTTTATGATTTCAACAAAAAACTAAAATACTGCAAAAGCTCTGTGGTAATTAACAGTGTTTGGCATGACAAAATGTGCACTATGTTAGCTATAACATACTATATCAGCTATTAGTCTGTCATAACATACAGTATAGTTATAATCTTGTCTGATAGCATTATGATAAACATCAGGCTTTGCTGTCGGTAATGCAAACAGAACAGTACATTTCTAGACATGCCAGGGATAGATAACAAAATGCCACACTGCAGACCAAGAAGTAAGTCTTGATAGTCACGAAACATTGCATTTCCTTTAAGCTCTTTTCCTTTTTGCAGAGGAACCAAGAGACATGGATGACTATGAAGACATAAAGACTGTGGAGCAGACATTGGATACAAGTTCTGTCTTACCAGGTTAATTGTGTTTTACCATATTAAAACTATTACTACTTTAATAACAAGTTGCTATAAATTAGTAGGCTATAATACATTGTTTTTTTGTGTGTGTGTGTTCTTGGTAGAAAATAAAAAGAAAGCTCCACTGTGTACTTTGCTCCATCTGGTGGCAGCAGGTTTGGGGATTATCTGTGTCCTCTTGGTGTCGGCCGTCATCACCCTCAGTATCCACTGTAAGTCTTTCTGCCTGTTTTCAAGGACTTTCAAGGCAGTTTGACAGTAAAAAGTGCAACAGTAACGGTTTCTTCTCTGACTGCAGTCAACACAGTTATGTCAGAGCAGTACAGAGAAAACACCAACTTGACATCCCAAAATCTGCAGCTGTGGACAGAAAAGACCAACTTAGAGAGACGGACAGAAGAGCTGACCAGAGAAAAAGACGGACTCAACTGGACCATCAGTGTAATCATGGAACATGACATGTTCCAGGTGACTGCCCACTGCCCACAGAAAGGTAATAACATGGTACACTCTAGTCTGTTTAGGTTTTGTCACCTCTCCTGAATGTAGTTCAACCAGGAGAAACAAGTGAATGAAGTAAAGATATTTTTTGTATGAGAGATTTTTGTGATTGAGGGGCATCTGCCCTGAGCGGCAGAAAGATAACCCCCCCATGTGGAGTCCAGACACTGGTGGTGATGGTTGATGGGAAGGTGGAGGGGCACACATAACAGCAGAATGAATGATCTAAAGGCAAAAAAAAATCATATTTAAAATGACAGCAGCAAGATAATAGGCTAACAATGGAGGAATGTCGCTGTGCTATTGGACAAAATGTGACCAGTTAATGAGAACAGCTGATATCATGATTGACAGCCATAGATAATGACAGCAAGGAAATTATGCACAAGCATGAATGAGAGAAGTGAATGCAGGACAGAACGTAAAAATGAACGACAGGCCTTTATGCAAAAGAAAGTCTACATTTTCTCATTTTTCACACTTTCTCTAGAGCTTCATTCATTTATCTTAAAGGTCCAGTCTGTAGCATTTAGTGTCATCTAAGTGGTGTAGTTGCAGATTGAAACTCCTTTGATTGAACCTCAACAAACTACAGTGGCGGAAAAACACTTATCTTTTATCTAGAAGCAGGGTTTTGTTTGTTCGTTCAGGGCTACTGTAGAAAAATGGCGGCTCAACATGGCAGCCTCCACAAAAGGCAACCTGCACCATCTGTAGATAAAAAGAGCTCATTAATGTACCAAAAACAAAACGATTCCTATATTCAGGTGATTATACACTAATGAAAACATAACAGGAATTTTATATTCCATTTATGCCAATAGAGCCTCCTAAATGTTACACACTGGACCTGTAACTTTTATGGTATTTAGATTTTCATTTATTTTTGCTCTCTGAGTGGAATTACCTGGAAAGAGGGATGAATGAAAATGTTCTAATTATTCAAAATATATATCAAAAATATACATTTTTAAATACACATTTATGTAATACAAAATGATCATGATTTTGTTGTCTCTGTCTTGTTTAACAGTGTGTCAACCTTGTCTGGACGGCTGGGTCCAGTTTCAGTCGAGCTGTTACTTTTTTTTTGATAACAGTTGGAAGAGTTGGGAGAGAAGTCGTGACAAATGCAAAGAAATTAATGCAAATCTGGTGGTGATTGAAAGCCAAGAGGAACAGGCAAGACTTACTTACTTCATTTGATTCATTTGTGTTGAAACAAAGCTTATCTTAATTTCTTTCTATGTTTTTAATGTTTCTACTTTTTGCATGTCATTCTTTGTGTATTTAAATCATTATTATTATATTATTGCAAAGGCATTATTTTCTTAATCAACACCTGTATCACAAACGTAGGAATTCATCAATAACCACACCAAAGATCAAGAAGATTATGGTTACTGGATTGGCTTGAGCAGCAAGGATGTGATGGGCAAGTGGATGTGGGTCAATGGAAGAAATGTCTCCGTGATGTAAGTGCAAAACTACACACACAAGCACCAAAAGTTCCCACATAACCTAATTTTACCCGCAGTAATTCAGACACTCACGTTTGTCAGTGCGCTAAATAAACCAGACCATCGGCAAGATGATATGGGCGGCCTCTATCCTATACCGTTTGTATCTAGTATCTTGAAGTGGCAGATGGTTCTCCTACAAGCTTCACGTGAAATACAGACGCGAGCAATGTTGAGTTAGTTGCAATCTGAAACTTTACCGCTAGATGCCACCAAATCCTACATACTGGTCCTTTAACTGTAAGCATTAGCAAAGAAATTCACTTGGCGTTTTTTCTTTCTGAGAAGATTAATATCACTCTTGTGTCAAACTATGAAGCTATAGCCAGCAAGCAGTCAGCTGTGCATAGCAAAAACACTGGAAATAGGAGCAAACAGTTAGCCTGGCTGAGATCTACTAATCAGCACCTCTTAAGCTTGTTAATTAATAGTTCATAGCTTGTTTGGCAGTGTGTGTAGTAAGTATGTACGGGAGGTTATGTGAATTTCTTGGCTGTGACTTCTTGGAGACAAGAAAACTCCAAACTCCAACCAAACCAGCATAACTTGTTAATTAGTGATCTTTAGAGGTGCTAGTACCGGGATTTTAGAGCCAGGTTAGCAGTTTCTTTCTGTTTTCAGTATCTGTGCTAAGCTAAGCAGATATGAGCATATAGTATCAGTATTCCCATCTGACTCTCTGCAAGCAAGGTTGGGAGGGTTGCTTTACTACTAAAGTACTTTACTTTACTTTACTACTAATAATTACCTAAAAATGTCAGTAACCTAATCCAAGTATCATAATAAGGTAATGTAACTTTCTTTACTTTGTGTTATTTTTGGATTACCTCAATGCGAAATATGCCAAGACAAGAGAATATCAATAATATGACCTGTATTCCTTTAGACACCAGAACAATGTGACTTTAGAAAAGAAAATTGGGAAACCAAGATTTTTTAGCATCAGAAATCCTTTTGTGTATTTTTAAAGAAAAACTTGCTTTTCATCAAGCAAATTCAGACAGTAGCCTCTAGATCATTTTCACAGCTGGAAGGCAGAGCTTGCATTATACTGTGATATTGTTCCGTTCTACTTAAAAGACAAAATAATGGTGAAATCTTCACGCAGTGAAAGCATTTTTTTCACTAGAGGCCATGATAATGAATTGGGGACTGTAAAATAAGCTCTAGTTTCCCTATTTTTTATTAAACTGAACTGTAATCTGATAATGTTTTTGTTCTGTGTGTAATGGATTACAGTCAACTTTTTTTCATACCCTATAAATGTCTGCAAAAAAACACAGCTCGATACCATGTGAATTATTTTCTTCTTTAGGTACTGGAGGACACAAGAACCTCTCTACGGAGTAGCTTGTGCTCTTATTCAGCCACATGCAACTCCTCTGGCCAATTGGAACAAAGCGCACTGCGACAAGAGTAACCACTGGATCTGTGAAAGGAGAACCTTGATCAAAGAATCAGCTGCACAATCCAAATTGATTGTTTAACGTTTAAGAAATCTATCTAAGATGTTTTTCGGTTAAAACGGATGGTGTTTTTCCTGTTTTTTTTAAGGATTTCAGCACATTTTCTTTTTATGTCTTTTTCTAATTTATGTTCTAATTTAAAGTATCCATTTCTGCAAATGTTGAACAGTACACATCATCTTTGTGTTATATATCAGGCTTCAATACTACAAATAAGGAGATAAGGACGCAAACTGAATAATCATCCATCTACTTCTTGTTATAATCTGTTTATATTCCTTGGACATATACACTCAGTAGCCACTTTATTAGGTAAACCTGTACATACAATCTGCCATAAATGTTACCTTTACTACAAAGCTTATAATGTTCAGAGTTGTTTTTTTTTTTTTACACTCAGGTTTTAATTCAACTATATGTTTTAGAACTTTTTATTAAACTGAACTGTAATCTGATAATGTTTTTTGTTCTGTGTGTAATGGATTACAGTCAACTTTTTTTCGTATCCTTTAAATGTCTGCAAGAAAGCGTTTTGCAAGCTGCAGTTTGTCAAGTGTTAGGGGGAAGAGGAACATCTACCTGTTTGTTTTACATGGGGTCATGCTGTGACCTAACTAACTGAACACCATTCACCTCTGTATTTGGCAATCTGAGAACAAGAACAGGCTGTGAAATGTATAGGAGAAACTATGATGGCCATGAAAATGGCAGAAAGCGCAAAAGGCCCAATCTACAGTCAGTATTTGGTTTGTCCGTTTCGGGCTACTGTACACAGCAGCTCGATTGTTATTTTCAGGTGATAACACATAAATGAAAAAACATTGCTAGATGCCCCTAAATCATACACACTGGACCTTTAATAAGTAACTATATCAGATTACATTTTTTAAAGTAACCCTCCCAAACGTAGTAGAAGAAAAAACTGTTAGGTGTCAGAAAAATGTCAAAAAACAAACAAACTTATCAGTGTATTACAATGCAAAATCGACTGTACATTTTCCATGCAGCCATGATAACAATAATAACAAATTACTTCATTATAATTACAATCATGGTTTGAATATGAGCTTCCTCATAACAAGCAGATGGTGAAGCAGCTGCACACTCTCACTTTCGTGTGTTGGCTGTGTTTTTGGGGATACTTTGTGTCCTGGTGGCGAGCATCAGTGTCATCATCTACACTGAGTTTCATTTCAACACACTAGAGTATATTTCAATAAACAGTTATAGCAGCTTACACCACATTTAGACCAGCTGAGTCAGTCTGGGATGTCTTCTACAAAAGAAAAATGCATATATGAGTTCAGCTTTCTCGGAATTGTGCCTGCTTGCTGCCATTAAGGAGTAGGTTTTGTTTTTGCCATTAAGGGATTGTTTTTGTTTGTTTTTTGCTTTAGTCTACTGATTACAAGCCTGTACAGCCTATAATACGATACACTATTTTTCTAAACATTTTCTAAGCATATTCTACATTTTTTAAGTGGATTTCTTGGCAGTTGTCGTTTCAGTGTGCTATTTAAATCAACTTGCAGAGATCTGAGAGTTGCTTAAGACAGATAATCTATAAATCACAGCAATAATTCATTAGCTTTTCTTAAAAGTCTGTTGACTGCTAAGGCATAACCCTTTAAAGCAAGAAACTAAACTCTGGTTATTACCATTTACATAAAACATACTTAACTCCAAAGCAATGCTGTTCTGCAGCCGACTTTCAACTTCTGGATGTGTTTTTAAAATGACCCCTATGTCAGGCTACCACAAGACAGAAATCAGTCTAAAAAAAGTAAATGTGGGCTTAGAGAAAATAATACTTCTCTGATAACACCAAATGCATGCACTGATGTGCTTCTCACCATAGTCAGTGTGTTAATAAATGAACCTCAGCAACCTCACAGCAGAAAATCAGCAGCTGATAGTGGAAATGAGCATCTTAGAGAGAAAGAATGCGGAGCTGAGCAGAGTCATCCTGAAATTTTAAAACTTTCCAGTAAATGAATCCTGCCCAGAAAAGAGTAACATTAGTACACAGAGTTCACAAGAGTAAATTAATGAAACACAGAAAAGTTAGCTAATCAAACAGTAATGATAAATGAATACTTAGAACGCTGTATTAGCAACACTTTAGCTAGAAATAACAGAGTACTCACTTCCTGAAAAACTAAATCACAAATCGACAATCACAGAACAGCTACAATTAAAAAATAACTGATGCTTACATGGTAATGCATGATTTTAATCCACTTTATAGCATATCGTTCTCAGATAGGGGCCATTTTGCACAATACGTATACGTATACTACATTGATTTTGATAACTACTTTTAGCTAAGAATCCGAGTACTTTTTGCCACAATCATTGCCTCCTTACTTTTAGTGAGTGAATAACTTTTAGACTGATGCTTTCAATCTCAAGCTTAAGCCAATATGGATGAGAAGTTCTTAAAATGCTCAGAAATAATGAAAATAATAAATAATGATGAATAATGAATAAAGAAAACTGGGCAAATTTCGTCTGCCAAGGAATATTGTGAAATATAATATATAATTAAAAGGTTCAGAATTGCTTATGGATGCTGTCATGCAATTGTTTCATCCAAGAATTAACTTTTCAGTCTCAAATGAACAAATGAACTAGTTACTGTTCTTCCTGTCAGTTTTACATATTTTATTCTCATTACTATGTGGTCTTATATATTTGTCAAAGTTTGTGTAACAGGGAATAAAGGGAAGTATTTATTCTGTTTTATGAATATGATGATGATTCAACATGTACTGTAATGAGGTAATTTTACATCCAGGAACACTGCATGCATTTAATACGTCAGTTGTGCCTGTTGTAAGCTGTTGAGACAATCTGTTGACACATCTTCTGTCCTTCACCTCATGAACTTCATGATTTCTCCTTTTTACCGGTGCAAGTCAGAGTTCAGAAAGTTCAGTTATTTGTGTAAAAAGGACAGAAAGATATAGGTCTATAGGCTATTTTACATGTGGAGTTACAAAACAGAACATAATGTGGCATTTTTGGGTATTCTGAAACGATAAAATAACTAAAGAGCAAAGATATAAATAGCAGCATCATATTTTAGATGTTGACACTGTTGCATTGGGAATATTTTTAGTAGCATTTTGAGTAGTGTGGTGTGTCAGGAGACTAAATGTACTGTAGCTGTTTAACAGTGTGACCTTTTTAAACATGATTTATTCAGGGAAGTTTCCTACTCCCTCAGAAATTTTCATCAAAAAAGTTTTTAATAACCACATAAAATACAGTGGGCCAATACTGTTTTGTAGAGATGGTTGGATAATACTGAAGCTGTGAAGTTTGCTTCATTTCTGTGAATCTCACTGTTGCAGTACATTGTGTGAAGAGGTAATGCTTGTATCCAATGAATACCATACGATTGATGAGGTCTGAAACTTTAAATGTCACCGGTGCTTCAGAGAGCAGCTTTGTTTAGTTTGACGTCCCCCTCTCTTGACCTTCGGAAATTACATTTGGAACTGCAGCTCTGCAGAATTTTCATTGAAATTAATTGCGGCCAGGAAAGTCTTAAAATGAGAAGGGTTTGTATGGGGTTACTACAAAATAGTTTGTAAAAGGCTAGAAGCTAAAGTTTAAAATTAGTGGTTCCAGTGCCGGAAGTTTTAGATTCTGGCAAAAACAAATGCAGCACAGAGACAAGTCGTAAAACAGGAATATACCCAAATAAAATGATGTAGGTGTCACACGCCAGGTTTTCACTTGCATAATATATAACTTGATTACTATACAATTTACCTGCAGAGCATCCCCACATATGAGGCGGCCACGCTTTTTGGAGCAAAACGTAGTATCAGACTGCAGAACCCCTCTCAGGAAGTCGTTTTGAAGAGAGAACTCATCACAAGAACAACCTTGTTCATTAGTAACTTCTCCAGCTCGTAGGTGGCCTTTGTTGTTAGAGGGGAGGAAAAGAGAACAACAAATATATGAAAGATGATGAGTGCATAGCAGCTATGAGTATATTACACGATTCTAGTTACATAACTGCTAATGAAGTGTCGTACCAGTGTGGTAGATGAATGTTTTAAGTGGGGTAGTACATGTATACATGTTTGTTTAGGGGGGTTGTGATCTTATGGTAGGGGGATGACTGAATGAATCTGGTCACGGTCACAGGGTCAGATCAAAGGACCATTTGTGTTGAAGACCTAAAACTTTCACATTTTTTCTCCTTAGAGATGGCATTGATTTAAAGTTTTAAAATAATTCAATACATTTTTGGGTGTTGTGGGTTAATGTTGCATGGGATTAGCTGTGCTAGAAATAATCAATAAAAGTACATTTCCCAGGTTATCCTACATTTAGATAAATGTCACATCATCATTAAAGCGTTCAATGTCTGGTTTCTGTTCACTGAAAACTTGTGAACCTGGGTGTGTCTGTCTTTCCTGGGAGAGGGATCTCCCTTTTTGAAGGGTTTTTTGGGGGGAGATTTTTGCTCAACCAATTTGAGGGGTTACAGATAGAGGGTGTCGTATGCTGTGCAGATTGTGAAAGCAATTGAGGCAAATTGTGATACTGGGCTATATAAATAAAACTGACAAAAGAAATCACACAAGTTAGATGCATCATAAAATGTTGTTTGCATATAAAGTTCAAACTTTAATGTAATATTGGTTTCATCCATTTCATGTGTATGTCTTTCTTCCTTACAATAAAATAAACAATTATTCTTGATGCAGAAACTACACTGAATTCTTGACATTTCATTGTAAGTTTCCACACAAAGTGGTCAACACAGGCAATTTAATTGGCACCAGTTCTAATGATTTCACATGTCCCAACCTACAAATGTCAACATTGACTTGATTTGTAAGACAGCTGGGTTTGGGCTGCACCCTGCGGATAAGTGGGGACCATTGACTCACTAAATCAATGATTTAGAGGCTCAAACTAAAAAGATCGACTGAACACATTTCATGTTGTATACAATCAACAATCTTAAAAAGTCTGCATCACCAACAAACGACCTGGTTCCCTCAGTCACTTGAACATCAGCAGCAGGTTATAAACTCCACAGTTCAGACAATATTGATTGAAAAATCTACTCTTTCATAGCACACAAGTGAGGTTGTTTAACAGGCAGAAGAGGCACAACTGCTGGGTGTCATTACTGGTTACTGGTCTGAATTACTAATAAGATATTCTCCAATCAATGGAAAATATCTAAATCAGTTTACAGGCCAGGTCAAATGAGAGAGCACAGCCTCCATGCAATCCATGTTTGGCACATTAACTCATCACAGCTGATTGAAGGTAATGCTAACTTTACCAACCAGCCAAGATAAACCTGTTTATCAATGTCCAAAACATTTCTTATCAAATACTACTCTTTGGACTTCTTCTTTTTCTTCTTTGGAGGAAG